TCTTGACGTAAAAGGAAAATGATACAGATGGGATCTTGGATCCATACAGTACAATGAAAGATCCCAAACCTATTGTTGAGTTGATTCGCTCTTATTTTAATCCTATAGGACAGAGTAGAACTGCCCCCAGAGTAGAACTGCCTATAAATCTTTACAGAAGAAACCTGTGTGTGTTTTTCCTTAGAGTGGCCTGTGGGTTTGAGTCACTGCTCTTGGCTAGCAGCTGAGCGCTTAACCACTCAGCTCCAGGGCTCTTGCACATCGGGAAAAAGGAGCTCAAGAAATAGAAATATGTGGATAAATGTAAAACACACCCTTTTCTCACCACTAATCGAACGATACTTGACTACCAAAGACATTAATGAAGATACAGATAAATCCACTCGTATAGAGACTTTCACAGCCCTCCCTCAGTAATTGGCAGATCCAGCAGGCAGAAAATCTGTAGACATCGTTGAACTGTGAAGCACCACCAATTAATTGGATCTAATAGACGTTTGAGGAGCCCTGGTGGTACAGTGGTTAAAGGGCTCTGTCTCTAGCTGAGAGGTTGGTGGTTCAAACCCACCAGCGGCTCGGCGGGAGAAACTTGTGGCTCTCTGCTTTCATAAAGATTGCAACCTTTTTCTAGCGTCCACCCTAGGAAGTTAGGAGGGAAAAAAGCAAATTAAACCCAAAGTAAGCCAAAGGAAATAACTAAGAAAAAAAAATCAGAGCTGAAATCAGGGGAAAAGGAAGACTGGGAGACAATAGCATCCGTGAGAAACCAAAAGCTAGCTCTTCGGAAAACACACTAACAACTGGAGAAACTTCTACTCAGGATAACCCAGGAGACGGTGGGAAGAGACACGGGGTGCTGGGAAAGAAGGTCCATCCCGATTGGCCCCATGGGTACTAAAGGGACAATATGGGACTGTTGTGAACAACTATATGCCCACAAATTTAATAGCTTAGGTAAAATGAACCGGTGTATTGAAAGACACAATCTACCAAAAGTCGCACAAGGGGCACTCAATATGATGGACCTGTATCTACTAAAGAAACCCAATCAGTAGTTCAGAACCTTCTGAAACAGAAGGCACAGGCTCCGGTGGTTCCCATTGGTGAATTCTCCCAAACATTTCAAAAAGAAATGATAATCATTCTCTGCAAGTGGCTCCAGGAAACGAAGCAGAAGGAACACAACCTATTTTATGAGACCAGCGTTGCCTTCTATTAAACCAGATCAAGGCATTACAAGCAACGACCAGCAGAGCGATATCTCTTATCAGCATGGACGTAAAAACCATCAATAAGTTTTAGCATATCAAACCCAACAATGTATAAAAAGAATTATAGTCGGAACAAGTAAGATTGATTGCAGGTATGCCAAGCTGGTTCAACATTTGAAAAAAATTAGTTTGTTTATTTTCAACCATTTCACCAACATTCCGTTCACATAGCCTGCATTCCAACCGTTCATTCATAAGAGTTGTACCGCCATCACCACAATCAATTCCAGGACATTTATTCTTCCTTGGACTCGTCGTTGTTAGCTCCCCATTTCCTGCCAGCCTCCCTGATCATATCCCTTTGGATCTATTAATCCAGTTTTTGTCTCGTTAGGTTTTCCCAGTCTGGGTTTCATATACAGAAAATCATACAAAATCTTCCCAACAATGACAAAAGGTGACAAAGAAAAACCTCCATTAAAAACAAAGCAGAAAATATTAAAAAATGGAGCAGTTAAACATTTGGTCAATAGAGAGATCGGTCACATTTTGGACCTAACTCCAATGGCAGTCATCTGCCCTACAATGTACTCCATCAGGCAACAAGGCCTTTCCACCTGTGGTCCATAGTCAGAGGGGATTCATATGCCGGTTCAACGTTTGAAGATCAGCTTCTGTAATCCATCTCATCAATAGGCCAAGAAAGAAATATAATGATCATATTCAATATATGCAGAAATATACTAATTAGCTGTCAGGTTAGGATCCCTGGTGGGGTAGTGGTTACACGTTGGGCTGCTAACTGCAAGGCCAGCGATCGGAAACCACCAGTCCATCCTCAAGAGAAAGGTGGGGTTTTCTGCTCTGTAAAGAGTGACAGTCTTGGAAATCCACAGGGGCAGTTCTACCCTGTCCGTTCGGGTTTCTACGAGTCAACACCTACACAATGGCACCGAGTCTGGGTCATTGTAGGGTTACTAAAACGAATCTATATGGCAACATTTGCACAATCAAAATGGTCTAAAGCTATTATATGACACATGTAGTGGTATAATTGAATGTTTACGCGGCAAGTTAATGTATGCGTTTGCAGGCTCTACGAAAGGGTACTATCATGATGAACAGCAGAGACGGACGCTGTCAAGGACTCCGTCTTACTCGGATCTGCCATCAACGCTCATGGAAGCCGTGGTCAAGCAATCAAAGGACAGATTGCGTCGGGCCTCTTTAAACTGTTAAAGAGCAAGGTGTCACTTTGAGGATAAAGCCGTGATGCATGTGGAAGTCGGCCAACAGAGAAGGAAGGCTGAAGAATTGATGTGCTTGAACCACGACGTTGGGAATGACTACTAAAACTACCGCTGGCAGAAGAACAAACAAGTATCTTAGCAGAAAACTCCCTGGATGTGTTGGAAGGACAGACCAGTCCCTGGAACAGGCCATGCGTGGTACAGTAGAGGCTCAGCCCAAAATGGAAAGGCCTCCATAGAGCTGGCTTGGCACAGTGGCTGCAGCAATGGGTTTGGAAACAAGTGTGAGGGTGGCGCGGAACCAAGAGGGCAGTGGTTTGTGGTTGCGCCTGCGGTTTTAAGGCGTCAGAAACAGCTGGAAGGCACCTACTAACAATGAAGCCACTGGGAGAAATCCAGCCCTAACCTTTAAAACCAGGGAAATAATTTCGCATGTGGACAAAACTCAATCCACAAATGAGAAAAGATTACGTGAATTGGGGGTACCAGTATAACAGATATTGGGGAGTCATTGAGACTCCTTGTTGCTGTTTGCTTTGAGTCCATTTCAGCGCAGAGTGACCCAGGTGAGAGTAGGTCGGCCTAAGTGGGTCATTTTTGGCTGTAACCTCCATGCACCCAGAGCACCAGGTCTTTCTCCCTGACTCGGAGCTGTTGGGTGGAATTGAACTGCCAACCTTTCAATTCACAGTTGAGTGTTTAAGTGATGAGTGTTTAAGTGATGCACCAACAGGACCTCCTTGAAGTTGCTTACAATTTTTTAACGATATAGGAAAAGTAATTATGATGTAATGTTAACATCTCAAAAAGAGGGTACTCCATTGTGTTTTTACATCTATCTAAATGATGCTCCCCTAAATAATCTACATGCATTAAAAGATGACACATAGTAAGTTTATATATATATATATATATACATATATACACACACACACACACACACACAAAATATAAACAGTATTTATAATTTGGGATGGTGGGATAATAGATGGTTATTTTTATAAGATGTCTTGCTGTTTCCTTTTTTTTTTTTTTTTTAAATGGCAAGATACAGCCGTCTAGTGGTAGAGGGGCAGCGAGGAAGGCCCTCAAGGAGGTGGATGGACACGTGGCTGCAAGAATGGGCTCAAGCCCAGGAACCATTGTGAGGATGGGGCAAGGCAGGGCACTGTTTGGTTCTGTTGTGTAAAAGGTCACTATGGGTCAGAACCGACTCTTTTGGTACCGGACCACATTGGTGGTTAAGAACCTAAAAGCAGATCTTGGGAGTCAGCCAGGCCAGCGCTTGACTCTTGGCTCTATCATTTGCAAGGTTGTGTAGACTTTGGCAAATCAGTATCGCTGTATCTTAGTCATCTCTCTGTAAAGGTGTGAGGTAGAAACGCCTACCTTGTAGAGTGCGTTTTCAGGATTCAGTGGGATCATGGCAACGTGTGTACTGAAATGCATTGGGTAATGACTATTCTTACAAAGGAGATTTAGAACGTTGATAATCAGAGAAAAGAGATTGTGTTAGATGCCAATACAACTTGTCAACTTTTTGTGACAAAGGTAAAACGGTGGAAATCTCGAGAGCAGGTTCTGGGTCTAAAACCAGAGCGAGGCTCAGAGGAATCTTCCTGGCTTCAAACAGCAAAACTCCCTCCGGAAGCTTACGCCACCAATGGCAGTTCGTTGTGAGAAAACCAGGAAGTCTCGGGAAATCCAAGTCAAGAAATACAGCCAGCTTTCAAGATGGCAATAGGATAAGAACAGGAACTCTAAACTCATACATAACCCCCTCTTGCAATCCCCTCTCTGCTTCTCTGCCAGAACCCTCTCTGCTTCTCCAGGTACGTGGCAAGGACATGTGCCTAAATTGCAGTCAGTTTTGACCATTTTCTGAAACCCTACTTAAAACAAATCAAACCAAACCACCAAATGTCTGGAAGTGAGGCTCTGATGGGCCCAACTCAGATCAAGTGACCAGTCAGGATCCAAACAGATATGACCAATGGGGCGGGCCACAGGAAACCATGTCTGCTCCGGGCCGTGGCCGGAGGAGAGGCCTAGAGAGAACCTTATAAACGGACCCCGCCCTCTCCCCAAAGCCCACTGAATTCTGTGGCTATTCGTGGCTCCTCTGTGCACGGGCTTCTTTCCTGACTCGGGATTGTTCCTCCATAATTTAAGCTCTTATCAGCCATCGCTCCAGGAGTTGTGTGGGGGTGTTGGGTAGAAGCAACGTCCAGGAAAAGGGGGTGTGGGCGGAACACGCTCCCCAAGAATGACACAGAAATTCAGTTCCTGATGGTGACACAGCCCAGGCTGCTGGAGCTAATGTCTCCCCAGGTGGGCAGGGCCGCATCCCTTGGTTTTTCCTGGAGGAGCCAGGGGTTGGCTTTTCCGTATGAAACAGGTTCCGTGGCACACGGTGGCCTTCCGCGGCGCTTAAGTCACAAAGCACAAAGGTTGGGCTGAGAAAAGCATGATTAACTACACGCACGCACACATCCGCCAAGCTCACCCTCCTCTCTGCAAGAATAAAGAAACAAAAGAGGAATTTTTTTTTTAAATGGTCATGTTACAGCTTCCCTCGGTGGCCACCCTCTCCGTTTTCCTGGGTGCTGACCACTTTGGCGAGGGGCCGGGGGGAGCTAGGGAACAAAGCTGGGGTCTGGAGCCCCCAAGATGCTGCCCGCCCGGGGAGGACAAGTCACCATTACAAAGGATCACGACAATTAGCGCCTGCATTTGGGGAACGGGTAGTGAGGAGGCCCCGGCCCTCATGGTCAGCGCATCTACTTGGCAGTGACCTTGCTCTGGAGGCGGTGATATTCCTTCAGCCTGTGAACCAGATTCAAAACAAAGGACAATGTCAATGAACACTATCAACATCCACTTGCTTCAATTCATCCAGGCAGGCCCGGGTTGGGGCGGGAGGGGGCAGCTGTTGGTTAAGACGTGCCTGAAGTTGTCTTTTTAATTCCTCCCCTCTTTTCCTCTGCTGTCCCGGGCCCCTCCTGCCCGCCAAGCGGGGTAGTGTAATTAATGTATTGTAGAGGGAAAACGTTGCTTGTCATTGTGGAAGACAAAGCAGTGAAGAGACCATTATGAAAACACGTGTGTTCTGGGCCATTTAAAAGGGTTTATGGAGTCATAAAACACAAACAGAGAGGTGCAAGGGGCGGGGGGCTTGGAGGTGACTGGAGAGGCGGGTGTGGGCAGATTCAGGGCTGGGGTGGCTCCAGGCACAAAGGCTGGCTCTGGGAGAAAGGGAGGGGGCTGCTGCTGTGCTAGAGGGTGCCATCGGGGAGGAGAGAGAACCCCACCCTTTCTCTCAGGGTGTGGGGCTGGGAAGGTACCCTGAGAGCAGGGACGGGTGACTTAGACCCCAGAGCTGGGTCAACAAGCCCTCAGGACTCAGCTTCCCAACTTCCTAGCTCTGGGACCTCAGGACTTCCCTCCAGCATCGTCCTGTGAGAGTCGAAGGAGACAACTTAAAGGGCGTGCCTGCAGGGGATCTGGCCCAGGCGAAGATGGTTTCTAGCTAGCTGTGCGGCTGTCCGGTGGGGACAGGAAGGCAGGCTCTGGACAAGGCCATCTTTTCAGGCCCCCTTTCCACGACGCAGCCACTTCCAATGTTGACCTGCCCAGGGAAGGGGCTCACATCTGAAAGGCTCATATCTGGGGGGTCCCTCTGGTTGGAGATGGTGGAATGAGTGTCAGAGGTAAAGGGTGGGCTACAGGAACTTGGGCCAAAAGGGGGGCCTACTGAGGGCAGGGCAGTGGTCGGAGCCTGCGCCTGCCCCCCATCAGGGTACAGAGGGTCTCACCTGAGGGAGTTGATGTTGATGAAACCAGTAGCATCGATTGGCTCGTAGTCACCCTGCACATTCATGCTGAGAGAAGAGAGAGAGAGAGAGAGAGAGAGAGAGAGAGAGAGAGAGAGAGACCAGTTAGCATGCCCCAGGGCCTCTCTAGGGGTGGGGACTCTTCAGCCAGACACAATTCCTCACAGGTAGCCAGGCCGATTTTCCTCCCTGTGTTGGCCCACACCCTCTCTGCACTTTGACTTCCATTCGATTTTTGTCCAATTCGGGGAGCCCCAAGCTCAGGGGCTTCAGAGCAAGACCGGCAGGGCAACACGGCAGACGAGAGCAATGTCTCTCCCCTGCTACATTAGGGAGCGAAGGCTGGGAGCAGCAGCCCTGTCTCATGCGGACACCCCCTCACACACACACAATGGAACAAGACGTCATTGCCTGGCCCCGTGCAATCCGCATAATCGGTTGTGGGTCAGTTGATTTTGATTCATGAGATTTTTCATGGCTGATTTTGGGGTGCAGGTTGCCAGGCCTTTCTTCCTAGTCTTTCTTGGTCTGGAAACCTGGCTGAAATATATCCAGCACCAGAGCAGCACAAAAGCCTCTGCTGACGGACACAGCTGGTGGCTGACAGGTGGTGGGTGCACATGAGCTGCATTGGCTGAGAGTCGAACCTGAGTCTCTAGATTGCAAGGTGCGCATTCTATCACAGGATCTCTGCTGTCCAGGATCAGTTTAGGTGCTGTTAGGTGCCATCGGGTCAGCTCTGACTCGCAGCGACCCACATGCACAACAGGAGAAAACACTGCCCGGTTCTGGACCCTCCTCAGAGCCATTGCCCTTTGAGCCCATTGTCACAGCCACTGTGTCAAGCCATCTTGGTGAGGGTCTTCCTCTTTGGATGCTGACTCTCTACTTTACTAAGCATTGTGTCCTTCCCGAGGGACCAGTCCCTCCCCAATGCAGATTTGCTCCATCCGGCCACCTACTGCCATGGAGCCAATTCCAACTTGTGGGACAGAGCAGAATGACTTCTTAGGTTTTCCAAGACAGAAAATCTTTATGGGAGCAGACAGCTTCATCGCTCTCCAGCAGAACAGCCTGAGGGTTTGAACTACCTACCTGGTGGTTAACAGCCCTGTGTTTAGTCCACAGTGCCACCCGGGCTCCCTGTTCTCTGGCAGTCAGTGGTGTATTCAATGGAATCATCCATGTGCATCGCCAACATCCTAATTCACATGCATCGGCTCTAATTCCTTGGTCTTCCTGATTGGCTGCCTAGCTTCTGTATGCATATGAGGCAACTGGGAATACCAGTTGGCTTTTTAAACTCGTTGAAGAGTTTTGGCACCAGAGTTGCCCAGTGTGATGCATCGTTTGAGTTCTTGACTGCTGTCTCCAGGGATGTTGATGGGGGAGCCACGTAAGAAGAAACCGGAGGCAGCTCCACCCAGTCTTCTCTCCCTTTTATATCCCTGAAGTCGAGACGTACACCACCCCGAAGGTCTTTGGCCTTCATCAGTAAGTGCTTCAAGTCCTCTTGGCTTTCAGCAGGTATGGTGGGGGCATCTGCAGCTTGCAGCTCGTTAACGGGTCTTGCCCCAGCCTGGAGGCTATCTTCTTCACCCAGTCCGGTGCCTCGGGTGATCTGCTCAGCACCCAGACTTAATCATCCAGAACTAGCCCAGTGAATTCCCCTGGGAACCACAGCACTCGTTTGTCCACTGAGGGCGCAGAACCCAACCAACTCCATCCTTGGGGCTGCGGGGAGGCTGAGAGAGGAGCCCCCAGGAACAGTTGGTGATGTCTCGTGACCCAAGGGCTCCAGAGGCCAGGGTGAAATGCACAAGGGGCCCCCAAACACTGTCTTGTTCTTGACAGACACCTTCTCTTAAGCTGCAGCTGCCAGTCCGTGTGACAATAGTTGGCCGCTAAGTCTCCTTCTGACAGGAGCCTTGGGTTGCTAACCACAAGGTCAGCAGTTCAAAACCACCAGCTATTCCACTGGGGAAGGATGTAGGTGTCTACTCGTATCACGAGTGACATTCTTGGAGACCCACAGAGACAGCGCTACCTGTCCTACAGAGTTTTCTATGAGGAGAATTGAGTTGATGGCAGGGGAAGTATCTGCCATGCTCAGCGGAATGTGTTTTCCTCCACGGTCCCCATGACTCTAGATCCGTCCGCCGTCATCTCTAGCTGTGCTTCCAGCCTCTTCTTGACCATGGCAGAGCCGCCCGAGGCCCGCAGCCTGGATCACGCATGCCCCCCTCTGCCACCAGGCATATCTCAGGGAGCCCCGGGCTCTCCATCTGTGGAATGGGGCCGGCAGTCACTGGCTCTTCAAGTGACGACTGGTTGCCCCTGAAATGCTGTAGCAGACTCCTGACGCGTGGCACGCACTTCCTTTTACCTATGTGCGCGATGTATCCCTTCGTTCTTTCGCTTCTCTAGGCCTGGTTGCGTTCAGTGAAGCACTTGGCTGTTAACCAGAGGGTTGGTGGTTCGGATCCACCCAAGCGTGAGGTGAGCGGAAGGACCGGGGGTCCAGCCGAGAAAACGACATGCACCTTCCTCTCTGTCCTGGAAGGTCCTCCTCCACCAGGAAGTTCACAAAGACCCAGCCATGACTATCACTTGCCCCATTTTAAGGCTGGGGAGACTGAAGCCCCCTACAATAGATGGTTTTGTGGGGAGGGGGGAGGACACACACCAAAGTCTGTGGGACTTGAATGCTGTGAGGTGAAATCCTTTCAATAGTACCTTACCACCCCTACCCCACCCCAGCCCCCCACCCCACCCCACCTGGAGCTGCTAGGACTAGAGTAAGTCCCATGGCAACTGGCAAGCGGGGTGAGGGACCTCCGAGGCCCTGACTCCTCCAGGAGGTCCCCTCTGAGGTCCCCGAGCCTGCCTGTCTCTCCCAGGCCCCTCCTCATGGCCTGCTCTGAATCAGTCCCTTGTCTTTCCGTCTGAAAGGGCTAGAGGCACAGAACTCCAGCCTCAGGACAAAGTCATCTCGAGGTTCTCAATGACAAGGAGGTGGCCTGTCCCCTCAAGAGCCCTCTCTGCAGAGGTGAAGTTGGGGTGGGGGTGGGGGGAGAGGCTGACCCCTGAGGCCGCACCTCTGACTGGCTGCCTTTGTGGATTGTGGGTGTTTTACAAAGGCACACGGGGTTGCTGCCTCTGCTGGGTGCAGGGACTTGCCTTATTCAGGACGCGCCTCATGACCCCCACTCCCCACCCCAGGGCCTTCACCAGGCCTCAGAGGTGGCTCATGGGATTCTCCACAAAGTCACCCTGCCAGGCTCCCACCTTCCTTGATGTCGTGACATCCGATGCCGCCTCCACCAGCCCTCCCTGGTCAGTGAAGTCATTGGCGGCTCACGGGGAAGGGAGAAGACCCCAGATTTTCTGGGAGTCTGCCCCTCAGTGCCCTCTGGGGCGGAGTTAGTGTTGCAGGACACTGGGACCCAACACCGCCTCCTAGCCCTCTGTAGACCTTGTTCATGGGTGATCAAGATCCAGCCTAGGCCTCTGCTCCCCAACACAGACTCACATAGGTTTTCAACATCTGGTCTCACCCCTCACCTTCTAAATAACCCCCTGCCCGTACTCAGCCCCAGAGCAAAGGCAGGGCAGCAGAGAGAGTCCCCTCACCCTGCCCCTTGCCCCCACAGGCTGTCTTGATGTTCCCCTCTCCCCAGTCAGTCTCCCATCTTTCCTCCTAAAACGGTCCCTTCCAGACCGCCCACCCAAGAGGTCCCACACCCGGGGACAACCTGGTCCCTCAAAGCAGCTGCGGCGTCCCAAGAGGTGTCCCTCACACACGGAACCACCTCTTTTTAAAATGGTGGTTGGGGTAGTGGTGCGGGGCGGCTTGGGGTGGGGGGAGAGGTGGAAAAAAGAGTTTACAATGATTTCCCCCCCCCCTACCTCCCCTGACGGTCTACAGAAAACCTCTGTGCTTTTATTTTTGCTCATTCGAGTGGCTCTGACCTGCTCTATAATTACGTTACTTTCTACCTACTGTGCCACGGCATTTCCAGTTCTGCTGCCTCTCCCGGCTGCCTCGCTGGTCCCTGTGATGCTGTCACTCAAGGCCTTTCAAGTCAGTGATGTAGAAATCAGAAAGAAAGGGGAAGTGGTCGGAGACACAGTGAGAATAAATGCTCCTGCTTTTCTCTCTTTTTTTCGCCTTTCCCTTTTTACTTTATTCATTTAATCTCCCCGAGTGAGACTGTGAGGCTTAATGAAGGGTTGGACAGATTATTAGAGGCTGTTGATTTGGAGGGGGAGGGAAGAAAGAGCCAGAGAGAGAAAGAGAGAAGATAATTTGACATTTACCCCGACTGATCTAAACTGATTCGGTTATATTTATGGCTTATAAAGTGTTTAGAAAGATTGAAGTTGGGGGGGGGGGGAGAAACTCGACATGGTGAAAGAGAAGAGAAGGCAAACTAATACAGGCTGCCAAACAAACTCGTACTTTAATTCCCAACTGGCCTCCGGGAGAGAGGCGCCGGCCTCAGCCTGCACAGAGCCGGGTCTGGGGTCTGCAGCTGGTGGGACTGTCCCGCCTCCCGTTTGGCCAGGAGATCCCCCAGAGAAGGCCACCTGCTCATTCATGACACAAGCACTGTGCCAGCTCAAGGTCAACTGCTCCCTTTGGTCAACTGCCCCCTGGGACCCGTAGGGACTCAGACATCGGCGATTATGAGGATGGTGTGGGACCCAGAGACGTTTAGTTCTGGTCTGTGTCAGGGCCCCCGAAGTTGGAGCCCACTCAACGGCAACGAACTCCAGCCCACTGGGATTTCTTCTTCCTTCTCTAGGAATTCCTCCTCGGTCCCCCTCGACCTGGCCCATCAAGGAGGGTGTTCAAGGTTCTCCCCTGGGCTCACACCCTCCTTGTCCACCCAGACGGTTTCCTCTCGGCTCATCAGGGCTTTAACGAATGTGGAAACACCCGTGATTCTCTCACGTCATCAGCCCAGCTTTCTCCTTCAAGCCAGACTTGTGAGTCCAAGGGCCAACCAGGAAGTTCTCCCTGGCTATCTCAAAGGATGCCCTGGCCCAAGGTGCCCCCATCTAAATGCATGACCGTTCTCGGGAACATCCAACTCAGTGGTTGCCACCCACCACTCAACACCCCCAACAGCGTGGTTCTGGACACCTTGCCACTCCTTCCAATCCAAGCCCTTTGATCAATTCCATCAACTTCTCCCTATTCCCAGAACCATCCATTTGGCTCAAACCACTAGCCGTGCCACAGGGTGGCCTTGCTTCTGTCCCAGCCGGCTTCCCCCCCAGGGGAGTCCACTTTTCAGAGCAGGCAGACGAACCTCCCAAACCACAGATTTGATGATGTCCTTCCAGGGCTCAGGGCCCTTTAAGACCTGCCTCCAGCCCCTTCTCTGCGGGCCGGCTCAGAACCACTGCCGACTCTAGTCTTCCCGGCAAGCAACCCCGGTTCGTCTCTTCCTTTCTGAGATCAGCTCAAAGACAACTTCTGCAGGAAGCTTCTCCTCAGCCCGACATTCCACCCAACCAGAGCTTCCTGTACGTCTTCGCAGCGTGCGAACATCATTTGCGCGTTCATCTGATTGACCCCTTTGCCCTCCCTCTAGCCTATAAGCCTCCCATTTGTGTCTAGGGCCCCAAAGGATGTCCAACACGCTCCACAACCGTCTCCCCCAAGCTCCACACAGCACCTGAAGGGAGTGCGGGCACGTCTTTGCTGAGAAGCCAGTTGGCAGAGGCCACGGGCGTGAAAGGCTGGTGCCCAGCTCAGGGCAGGATGATGTAAGCATGTTGGGGTTGGGGGGACCTACCTCACCAGCTCCTCGTTGTACAGCGACAGTGGGGACTCCCGGCCGAGGATGTACACCTGACCCTTGAAGACAGACACCTGCACCTTTCCTTCCACCCGCTCCTGGGACTTGGCAATGCAATGGCGGACGAACTCGCACTCGGGGCTGTGCCAGAAACCTGTGGGAGAGACAAGGGCGCTAGGGCATGGGGAGGAAAGGTCGTGCCATGCCCGGCCCTTTATGGCAGACCCTGCCCACTGGGTTGTGGCTGCCGGGGCTCTATCTACCGTGAGCTCCCGAGAGCACACACCGGTTGGTCAGTCTTGCTTGTTGCTGTGTTCTGATCCTTTGTGAACTTGTAAGTGGTGGAACCAGGGAGTCAGGCCCACAGTGCCCCTGTCCTGTCGCCTTGAAGGGGTCCTGTGTATAAGGAAGGTCAGGAGGAGGGGGGCCTGACCACTGCCTGGGGCCACAGAGATGAAGAAAAGCCATTCCGTGCCCACAGGAAGCACCATTCCTGTGATGGAGGCATACAGGCATTGGGCAGGTGACCCCCAACCACACTCAGAGACCCAGCTGCCCCCAGTGCTGAGCGATGGCAGAGCCTAACACGGGCAGCAGGAGGTGGCTGGCAGGTGGCCTTGACCTCTCTTTCTACGACTCCATCTCCTCCCCTGTTCAGTGGGGGTGACATCTTGTCTCTGTCCTCATGGGACGAGAAGTTTACTGTCCAAGGAGCATGCAGTGAGTGTGGACCAGGGGCTGCCGTGGACACTGCTGTCCCCACCATTTGAAGAACCTTGAGATGGGCCCCAAACCCGCTGCCAATGGGTCAACTCTGACTTGGAGCACCTGAGAATCTTTATGGAGCTGACTGATGGCCTGTCTTTCTCCCAAGAAGCGGCCAGTGGGTCTGAACCTCCAACCTTGTGGTTAGCAGCCCAGCACTCACCCAACAGCACCACTAGAGCCAATGGACATCACCTAATGGTATTTGCATAGGTAAGCATACCTGTTGAATATTTAAGCAGAGGTGATGGGCAAACTCTATTGGGCCGGGCTCCCTATCTTCCTCCATAACAACGCCGTGCGGAAACCCCCTGCCTTTGCCATTCTTTCCAGGTGAGGCCAGGAGGCTCATTAGAGAAGTTGGGAAAAAACTAACCATGCAGCCGGCGAGGAGGGGCAGGGATTTGAACTCTGCCCAAGTCCTCCGGATCTGCTCTATGGAATTCACCAGGAGCTTTCCTCCCTGAGGCTGGGTCGCCCCTCGGTTTGTGGGGCAGGAGGGGCCTGGGAAGTGTGCTACCTCCTCCCTCACCCAGATGCCCTGTCCCCACGCCCCAGAGCCCAGCTGGCTTCTCCTCGCTAGCCTCACACGGGAGTCCAGGTCTGAGGGGCCACAGCTACGGTTGGGGGAGGAGCTGCAGGGGGCATAAGGTTTCCCTGAAATGGAGCTGGGAAGGTGAGCCCACCTGGGCAGCTGCAGGGCCAGATGGCTTGCGATCTCCTGCCCTGATAAAGGGCAGGGTCAACCCAGGGTCTGCAGTTATTGTTGGCGGCCCTAGCCTCTGGGGGCACCTGCTGAGGCTTTTCTGTGGGAAGGGGGAGCAGACCTCCTCTGGGGTCAGTTGCCTTGGGGAGGCGGGAGAGCTGAGTGGGGAGAGAGGATGGGCCCTCATCCTTCGGGTCACATTCGGGCCCCACCTGGATGAGCAGCATAGTGCCATGGTCTGGCCAGCCACGGTCTGGCCAGCTGGGGAGGGCTCAGCATGGTGCATTTGCAATGCGAGCAAGGTGCTCTGGGCCAAACGCCCAGAGAGGGAAAGAGCCCGCCCAAAGCCACACAGCAAGAGAACCTCAACTAAGGGCCCTTCCTGCTAGCCAGTGCCTGGGTGGTTCACACGAAGGCAGTCGGCTGCTTACTGAAGGCTGAAGGTTCAGTCCACCTGGACTGGCCTCACCAGAAAGGCCAGGAGATCTACTTTAGAAAGATCGGCCATTGGAAATGCCTCAGAGCAGGACACACGAGGTCACCACCCCAACGGACACCTGGGGCTGGGAACTGTAGCCCAAGGCCTTTCCCAACATGCCGTGAGACCCCCGTGGGAGGAGACACTGCAGGCCCCCTCTGCCCTGCCCTTGTGTCCTGGGCCATGCTACCTTTCTGAGTAAGTTGGGATAATTAGCCTCTTTAAGTTCCCAGGTTGGGAGGCAGGCTGGAGATGAGGCCAGAGATAGGAAGGAATGAGATCCCTGGTGGGGGGAGGTGGGGGGTCTCCTGGCTGGGGTTTTATCTCCAAGATCACTGCCTGCCCCCCTCCATCCCCAGGAGTCGTCTTCTGCTCAGGTTTCTTTTCCCAGTGAATTTAGCACAGGCTGGGAGACAATACACCAGGAGCTATGTGCATGTGGGGTGGGCATGGGGTGGGGGAGACCCTGCATGTCAGGGGCCTTGAGCGGGGTAGTGGGCCTGGGGTGAGAGCAGAAAGCCCCCCATCTCAGGCCCTCTACACCCATGGTCCTTTCTCATTCTAAGAACAATGGCTCTCTGTGACGACTTGTGCATTCTCCCCATGCTGCTGCGAAGGAAACTGAGGCCAGCGTGGGAAAGCCACCCCGGGAGGGACGCTGTCCTTACTGATGCCTGGGTCCTGTCGGTTGGGCGCTGTGGTTGAGGCTGCTCCGGGAAGCAGTGGGTCTGCACCTACCCAAACATCCATCCCGGAAGTGCTGGAGTGGGGCAGGGGACGGAGATGGGCAGATGGGCAGACCACCAGCTGCGGGGAGGCAGGAGGGTATGGCTGGGTCACAGAAGCCAAGGAACCCAGGACTAAGAGGGGGGTGGGGGATGCCAAGAGGGCTGCCCCACGCCTCAGTCTCCCCGTTTGGGCTTGACCCAAGGAACGAGAAGGTCTGGGGAGAAGCCCTGCTGTGTCCCTATGCTGCGTCTATTTTACAGGTGGGGAAGCTGAGGCTTGAAGGTCAGAAAGGCCCCCAGCATCCTGCCTCCATCACGTCAGCTGGCATTCGCAGTTATGTACAGTGAACCCTCGCCACTTTGCGCTTTGACTTCCGCGGCTTCACTCTATCGCGGTTTTTGCATAACAGCGCATGCTCTGTCATTACTGCCACTGATTGGCTCACTCTGTACACGCTTGATGCCATAAATAATATAATAAATAATAAATGATAATTGTAACATCCAAAATGTTTTACTGTATTTCCCCTTTTTCGTTTAATAAATTGGGTAATACGAGTGTAACGGTGACTAAAGGGTGTTTTTTCATGTCCTCTATGCTCTAACTACGAAAATATTTGATTTACAAATAAGGAATCCTACTTCGCGGAATTTCATTTATCACGGTAGGGTCTAGAACCGATTAACCGCGATAAACGAGGGTTCACTGTATCACGTAGCACACACCTGCAGACAGCGCCCCTTAAGGCCAGAGGCTGTTCCTAAAGCTTCCTAAGTGGTGCTGTCAGGTAGAAACATCGGACTGGGAGCTGGCAAGGTCGGTGGTTCAAAGCCCCTCTTGGAGAGAGAGATGAGGCTGTCTCTTCTTGTGACGATTTCCAGCCTTGGAAACCCTGTGTGCAAGGCCGTGAGGAGCCGGAATAGGCTTGACCACAGGGAGCTTGGCTTGGGTTTAGGAGACAGGGAACAGCATTATCCCAAATCTTGCTCATTTTTTTCCAGCTAGCCTCTGCCTCATAACATTCATTTGCCACTAATTAAAGAAATCCCATTGCTCTAAACCCAGGATGATAATTCTGTGGATGGGAGGGGAGAGGAAGCTTGTCGCAGGAAGTAATTACAATTACCAAGGCTCACCCTACTGACTCCCCTGAGATCCAGGCCCCCTTAGATGGCAAGGCTGGCTCCCTGAGGCAGTTTGATGGGATTCATAACAGTCGCAAAATGACCCTTTCATACAGTTCCTCATGTTGTGGTGACCCCCCAACCATAAAATTATTTTCGTTGCTACTTCATAACTGTCATTGTGCTACTGTGATGAATTGGGCGACCCTTGTGAAGGGGTTGTTTGACCCCCAAAGGGGTCAGGACCCACAGGTTGAGAACTGCTGGTTACAGGCTTCATTGGATGGCCACAGACACAACCTAGGCAGACGGGCACAGAGGAGAGGGCACTGGGTCCACATACATGCCCCTTGATCAACCCTTTTTTATTATTGGCTCAGCCCACCCACCTCCATGCCCCTCTGAGCTCTATGGGAGTGGCCGAGAAGTCAAAGCTGAGACACCTTGGACAAGGGTCTTCACAGCCCCTCGTCCTGTTTCCTCACCCCTAGACAGCTGAGAATAGACAGTGGCTGTCCAGAGAGAGAGTGCAGTGCTACTGTGAGACCAGGAGCCTT